AATGTGTGTCTTGTTCCTCTCCCTGTGTCCATGTGTTCTCATTGTCCAAAGTGAGAACATGTGCTGACTACTATTCTTCTCAGACCCTGAGCATTTGAGGCTCCTTCTAAGGAACTCACCTCCTCCTCCCTTGCCTCACTAGGGGAGTAATGGGTATCTCAGACTCCCCAACTCCAGGGGATGCTGATGAGGAAGAATTTCCTTCCCCAGGCCCTCCAGTCCCAGATGCTTAGAAGGGCCCAGAATGTCCTCCAAGGCATCCTACAAATACCTCAGTGTACGTGGCCTGCTCTCCTGAGAAACCCACCCTGGGCTTTTCAGCGTTCTTGAGGATGCGAAACTGAACTACATCTCTGTTGTCTGTAATTTCCGTAATTACAGTTCACCCTTAAACAACAAGGGGGTATGGGTGCCACCCCTAACAAAGTCAAAACTCCAAGTATAACTTTGGATTCCCCCCAAATCTAACTATTAATAGCCCACTGTTGACTGGAAGCCAATAACATAAACAATCAGCTTACATGTTTTAAATGTTACATGTATTCCATACTGTGCTCTTACAATGAAGTAAGCTAGAGAAAAGAAAATGGCATTAAGAAAATCCCAAGGAAGAGAAAATGTATTTCCTATTCATGAAGTGGAAGTGGATCATGATGAAGATATTCATCCTCATCGTCTTCACATTGAGCTGGCTGAGGAGGAGGAAGAAGAGGAGTTGGTCTTGTTGTCTTGGGGTGGCAGAGGCAGAAGAGGTGTAGGAGGTGGAAGGGGAGGTGGGAAAGGCAGGCACACTCAGTGTAACTTTTGTTGAAAAAAATCTGTTTACAGGTGGACACAAATCAAATGCATGTTGTTCAAGGGTCAACTATATATATATTTTTTAACCTTAGCATTTAAACATGTTCCTTTTGAAAATGTCAGCCTGTCTTAGCTATAGGAAGGGAAAGGAGATGTGGTCTGTGCTCAGCCCATCTTAAAGAGGCAAGAGCACATCTGGAGTCTGGGCTGGGGGAGGCAGCAAGGTCACAGTGAGGAGGCCCACGGTGTGGAGGAGCTCTTAGCAGACCCTGCAGGTTTGGCCGTAAACCTTCCCTCACTGGTCAGTCCTGGAGGAGCTAAAATTTCTACCATAGAATCAACACCTGGTGGGGGCCTTCAGAAACTAAATTCTAAAAGGTGAGAAAGCTCAACTTTCTTTTTTTTTTTTTTTTTTTTTTTATTGAGACGGAGTTTCGCTCTTGTTACCCAGGCTGGAGTGCAATGGCACGATCTCGGCTCACCGCAACCTCTGCTTCCTGGGTTCAGGCAATTCTTCTGTCTCAGCCTCCTGAGTAGCTGGGACTACAGGCACTCGCTACCATGCCCAGCTAATTTTTTGTATTTTTAGTAGAGATGGGGTTTCACCATGTTGACCAGGATGGTCTCAATCTCTTGACCTCGTGATCCACCCGTCTCGGCCTCCCAGAGTGCTGGGATTATAGGCGTGAGCCACCACGCCCGGCCAGAAAGCTCAACTTTCAACCTCCTTCTGGGTCTCCTTCCAAAGTCCATCTCTTCTCAGACCAGCAGCCCTGAGCAGTGGTCAAAACTACAGAATTCTCCTTCTTACCTCCTGAAACTTCCTTGAATCTCATCCATCCCTGGAGAGTTTCAGCTTTCTAGGGTGATCACAGACTAGAAGTGACATTCTAATCCATATATTTGTCTTGAGACAGGGTCTCACTCTGTCATCCAGGCTGGAGTGCAGCGGCACCTTCATGGCTCGGGATCAGCTCCCCGGGCTCAGGTGATCCTCCCAGCTCAGTCCTCTAAGTAGCTGAGACCATAGGCATGGGCCATCATGCCCAGTGAAGTTTTGCATTTTTTTGTAGAGAGAGGAGATTTTGCTATGTTGCCTAGACTGGTCTCAACTCCTTGGCTCAAGTAATCCGCCCACCTCAGCCTCTCAAAGTACTGAGATTACAGGTGTGAGCCGTTACACTTGACCATCATGAAGCTATTTTAGAAGAGCTATAAATCGGGTGGGAGGTCCCCATTTTCACCGCAGCCCCAGCCCTCCAGAATATCTCCATATTTTAATAATGGTCTTCGGAAAATTATGCCTCCCATAGAAATGATGGAATTGCCACGATGTCACAGAAAGAGCACAGGACAGCACTGAGGTCAAAAGGCATGAGAACTTGAGTCAGCTAATCTCAAAGGGCTTGGGGTCTAAGCCCTTTGGATGTTCTGGATCTTCCCTCTCTGGAGCCCAACTTTCTTACTTTTTAGAATTTAGTTTTCTAAGCCCCCCCAACAGGTGTTGATTCTATGGTAGAAACTGTAGCCCCTCCAGGACTGACCAATGAAGGAGCGTTTATGACCAAAGGGAGCTTAGGCAGTTCTCAAGACAATCCGAGCAAATCACAGCTGCTGACCCCATGCCATGTGGGGGTCTCTCTGCCATCAAGTCCTTCCCTGTTCTTTCTGCCAGTGAGAACCAGCGCCCATCCATGGGATTAGCTCCAGGGGGGACCTGAACAGTCCATTTGCCATCAGTGCCTCAGTCAAGCACAGGGTCTGCTGGGTGGCTAGGAAGGGTCGGTGGCTTGCCTGAGCGAACCCAATGTAAGGATTTGCAGAGTCTTTGCCTACACTGGCCCCGATTGATAAGAAAAGCTCCCAAGGGTGAAAGGGTGGGGATAGAGAGCCTTCCCACCCAATCAGGGCTCCAGATCAGCTTTTCTACCCGCTCCAGCTCCACACAAACCAGCTCCCCGACCTGGTGAGCCCTGGCCCCACCCTTACCCACTTCCCGGCCTCACTCTGGGTGGGATACAAGCCTGGGGGAAATTGAAAAATACAGCCAGCTTAGGTTGCTATTGTTTTCTTTAAACAAACTGCTGGCTGGACTGACTTGGAAAGGAGTAAGGGAAGGTTGAGGAGCTCAGGGCAGACTGGGCTGGGTGGGGCTTCCCTGAGCTCAGTCCCAGACCTCTCCATCTTGCTAGGGTGACAGAAGAACTCTATGGGGACAATGGCTGCTAGGCATCTGTGAAGGTCTTCCCTCCTCTCCTGGAACAGATGGGGGTCAAGGAGACGGGCTTCCATTCTCAAACCCCTTATCCTTATCTTGGGCCACAGCCCTCGGTTACACCCAGGCCTGGATAATGCCAGGCCTGGATAATGCCAGCCCTGGATAATGCCAAGCCCAAAATGTGGGGAGTCGGGGGACTGTGCTGAATGGGGGGGCTAGGCAGAGCTGGAGTGAACACCACCATATGGGTGGGACTGACATGGAAAGCTACCCACATTTTCCTGAGTAGAAAACGACAGGGTAAGGGAGAATGGAAGGAGGTTAAAGGAAAGAGATCGCAGCCAGGCACGGTGTCTCACGCCTATAATCCCAGCACTTTGGGAGACTGAGGCGGGTTGATCACCTGAGGTCAGGAGTTCAAGACCAGCCTGACCAACATGATGAAATCCCATCTCTACTAAAAATACAAAAATTAGCCAGGTGTGGTGGTGGGTGCCTATAATCCCAGCTACTAAGGAGGCTGAGGTAGGAGAATCGCTTGAACCCGGGAGGCGGCGGTTGCAGTGAGCTGAGATCATGCCACTGTATTCCAGCCTGGGCGATAGAGCAAGAATCAAAAAATTAAGAAAGAAAGACAGGAAGGAAGGAAGAAAAGAAGGAAGGAAGGAGGGAGGGAGGGAGGGAGGGAGGGAGGGAGGGAGGGAGGGAGGAAGGAAGGAAGGAATGAATCTATCTCACCTGCCTCAGGTGAAGAAGAAAAAGAGCAAGGGGCTTGTGGGGGAAAGGTCTATCCTTCCACAGTCTCCTGCCCCTTCTTCCAACCAAATGGGACCTAGGTCTATAGGAACCAGCCTTAGGAGAGAGATATCTGACCAAGAGGCCCCAAGTGTGGACAGTAACAGACAAGCTGCAGTCCGAAGGGAAGGAGATCTAGTGGGTTCTGGACTGGGCGAGTAGGACTTTAGTTCTATAAAAGGTAAACCTCAAGTTAGGGGGTTGGATCTCACCTGCCCCCACATCAACAGGGCCTCCTACCTCTCCCCATCCTCCCAGCATCCCATGAGCCCCTCTTCTAGGCTTGGTGAAAAGGTAGCCAGGGCACAGTTAGGTGTTGGCAGACTCAATTATGAGCCACGCTAATCACCTTCATTAAGGCTATAAAACCCCACACCTAGGGGCCGCAGGGCTCCCTGGCATGGCCTGGGGGCCCTGAGCCATGGCACAGACCCAGGGGCCCAGCTCCAGTCTCTTTCATCTGAGCATCTCCCAGTCCTGCACAAACAGTAATTAGCACCCACCCCCGGGGTCACCTCATTATCCCACAAACACCGAGCAGAGGGGAGGAGGGAGGGAAAGAGAGGAGGGAAACTGAGGCTGTCCCAGTGGCCAAAGAAACTGCCCCAGGGTTGTGGGCTGAGTTGACTGAAGCTGGGGAGAAGCTGCCACAGAATCAGGCAGTATAGCCTCCTCCTGCCTTCCCTTCCCCCACCTGTTGCTCAGAGTCCATTGCCTAATATTCTAAAGGCTCCAAAGGGAGTGGCATTCTCCCTCCAGAGAGGATGGGCTCCTCAGCAAGATCCAGAGAACTGTAGGTGGTCAGGTCTCCCTTAGATCTGACCAGCCCCTGCAGGTGATATCCAGTGCCCAGTCTCAGGCACCGAGGGGATTGTGTGACAGCCCTTTCGGAAGTGTACTACAGGGCCTCTCTAGAGGAAAAGTGTCCATCTGCCTTCGGGCCACCCTCAGCAACACCTGTGTCTGCCCTCTCTCCCTGGATCCCCTGAGATACCCACTCCAAAACCCCACTCACTGCCCTGTCTCCCAAAAGCAGCCATACATCCTCCTCCTCTCCCATTTTCCTCCTCTCCTATCCTCCTTCCTCTCCCATCCTCCTCCCTCAGAGAGAGAAGGAACCCCGCAGAGCCCACGTGGCCTGAAGTGCACCCCAGGCATAACCCACAGCCCTGTCTGTCTCTTCTTTCAGGGCACTGACCTGAAGAAAGGGAAGATTAAGGGCCAGGAGTTATCAGGTGAGTAAGACCCTAGGGACGCCTTCCCCCACCCAGGGCATCAGTGACAATCACAGAAATGAAAACCTCATGGCACTGCTCTGTTATATGCTAGCGCCAACCGGAGAGTCTTCTTGGATGCCCTGATTTCATCTCCACAACTGCCTTTTATAGTCACTGCCATCAGTGTCCCCATTTTACAGAGGATAATACTGAGGCACAGACCATCCTGCACCATGTGCACGGCTAGTAAGGAATGCAGCCAGCATCACAGTGCAGGGGCCATCTGAGTGGAGGCTGCTTGTAAACCCTGTCCACCCCCATTCCCCCCTCCAGCTACCCTCTCTCAGATCCCTGCCCCAGGAGGGTGCCCCCCAACCTACCTTGAAAAGAATGCTCAGGTAATGAGCCAGTCTCTGGCACAGGTCTGGGCACCAGACCTCACCTTGCAGTTCCAAGAAGCAGCTTGGGCTTGGGCACCAAGCAGGCCTGGATTCAGATCCCAGCACCACCACTCACTGTCGGCCTGGCTTCACCTCTCAGAGCCTCCAGGAAATGGGAAAGTGAAGGAGACGTCATAAGTGAAAGCCTACAGCCCAAGGCCTGGCCCAGAGAAGTAGCCTAGCATGTGTGAACCCCTTCCCCTCCTCCCCACGCCTCACTTCTCCAACTTTGGAGGTTCTGAAGAGGGGATTGTCCAGGAAAGCCCTAGTGAGAAGCATTAGTCTCTGTCTCCCTTGAGGATAAATTCCCCATTGCACAGAACCAGTGAGTTCTCACTTCAGACTTGTCCGCACAGAACTGAGGTCACCAGTTTTGGGCAGTGGAGAGTGTGCCCACAGTGGAGTGCATCCCACAGCCCACATGCCCACCCACCTCGCCCACACTGACTTGTCCCATCTGCCCTCCATACCCACACACATGAGGAGACTCCCTGGCACCCACTGTGCTCAGAAGTCTCTCAGCACTGGCGGTGTTTAGGAAGAAATGATGGTCAACCTGCATTTACACACACACTCACAGGCCCTCCAAATCAGCCTCAGGGCATTTGCACACTGGCTCTTCATGTGTGCATACCCGCCCTGAGTGGAGACCACCAAACACACACACTCACATGGATCTCAGCACACCCAGCTCTGCTCTCATTCTGAGTGTGCACACGTGCGCACACACACACACATATCTGATCTGTGATCCAAAAATGCAGGGAAAGATGAATAGTCAGGAATTCCCCAGCTGTTGGCATGCTGGAGGCCACCAGTGGCCGGAAGTGCACAGTGAGAGACTCTTCCAATGGCTCCAAGTAGCAAGTCATGCTTTTGTTTAATGATCACGAGAGGAAAGAAGGGAAGGTGGTCATAAAGGACCAATAATCCCTCCCACCAACATCCTCATTGCAAATGCTTCTTTCCCACCCACCCAGGAGGATTCTTGGCTCCAGCCTGGCTCTCCTCCTTGGAAAGGAAGATGGAGAGAGGGAAGGGGAGTGGGAAGGGGTGAAGTACTCTGGAAAGAGGCCCACCTTGAAAGACCCAGGCCAGGCCAGCAGGATCTTGACTCCTGCATAGACTTAGGGGAAGAATGAAGGATGTCCCCACCCCATGTTTCCACCAGAACAAAAGCCCGATCTCCTGCAGGGAGAGGGAAGGAGTGGGAGAGGGGCCTTCTCCCTGGTGCCTCAAGCGCCCAGCTCCTACAGCTCCCATGATCAAACCTTTGAACCCAGTCCCACCCACCCTCATAACCATTTCCAGATCCTCCAGACGCAGCCAAGAAATTGGCTTCTTTGGGGATTGAGTTCATAAGGAAATGCCGATAAAATAAATAAAAATCCTCTGCCAAACACATTCACAGAGGAAGATGGGCTTCTCTTGAGGCAGGAAGTCCATCAGTATAGACTAAAGCGAAAACAGGACAATGCCAGCACCCACTGGCCCATAAAGGCTTGGGAGCCGCGCCAGCACCTGAGGCCTTCAAGCCAGCTCAGGGTGTTTCCTCTCAGACCACCTTCTCCCCACCGTCACCCTCACCAATATGTGTACTTCTTAAATGAAGACACTGAAGGTAAGATCCCATCAAATACAAATCCTAATGGTTTGCACGGGTGAGCCTTGCTCTGGAACCCCAGGGAGTCAGTAGGACCGTGGGAAGGCAGAGAGCTCTGCGCTGGGTATTGTGGGATGTGATGCCCACCTCTCTCCTTCTTCTGCCTGTAGCCTACCAGGCTCCCTCCCCACCAGCACACAGCGGCTTCCATCGCTACCAGTTCTTCATCTACCTTCAGGAAGGAAAAGTCATCTCTCTCCTTCCCAAGGAAAACAAAACTCGAGGTAAGACCTTCTCATCCTTCCAGCCACCACCAGGGTGAATTCTGGGGTGGAACTGATGCTTCATGCATTTATGGGGAAATTGGGACCTCGACCCCCATTCATGAGCCTTGGAGACTGGGGTCAAAGGCTGGTATTTCTTGGGAGCCAATTGGAATGAGTGCCGTAAAGATGCTGGCATCAGATGTGGTCTCCCTTGAGAAGTAAGTCCCACAGACCAATGTGGAGGCTCTAGCTGGGTGGGTTGGCACGTAAGGCAGAGTCTCAAAGGTGGTGACTGGAGCCAGGGAGAAGAGTACCCTGAAACTTTGCATGGCATGTACAGGCAGCTGCCCCAGAACTCTGGCAAGTCATTGTACTCTGTAATTGAGTCTGATCTGGGCAAGAGGGCCCTGGAATGCCACCCTTCCGGTCTATCCTCACAGGTTGCTAATTATTGGGTCGGCTATGCCATCTCAGTGATGGGTGCAGATGTCCCCCACCATACCCCCTCCTCTAGCTTCTCTGAGCAGCCCTCCTTGGCCTCTGGAGCAGACCAAGTCCTGTAGCCTCCTAATGGCAAACCCCATCTACTTGGCCTCGGGCCTGCCACCACCAGCGCCAGGGAGCAGGAGCTGTGGCTGCTTGTCCTCTGCAACACGTGCAGTGACTCACCTGACCCTGTGTGAGCCATGCCCCCGACTCCCCCACCTGCCATCTGAGCTTTAGACTTCTCTTCCAGCAAACGGGAAATAAAGCCACCCCTGTGCGCTATATCACCTCCCCAATGTTGGGGAAAACGAGACAATAGAGGCTGCACAAATGCCATCTGAGAGTGCAAGGAGCACGTCCCCCGGGCTGGCAGGAAGGCGAGTGGGAGGGTGGGTGTCGTCAGCCGTTTCCTCTCACCCAGTGACCTTGGCCAAACATCCACCCACTGGGAAGCCCGCACAGGTATTGCTACAACCACGATGCCCGAGGCCCTAGAGGAGAGGAACATGGAGCTCAGAAAGGCACAGGCTGAGCGATGGGGCCCTTCAGATGTGCCGAGCAGGGCCCACCAATCACAGAGGGCTCCACGTCACCCTGGGAGGGGAGTTGGTGCAAACTTCCCACAGGTGAACCTTCCCCAGGTGCCCTCAGTGCCTTGCCAATCTACAAATCTGTTTAAACAGCTTTGCCAAAGACACTTTTAAGTTTAGATGGAGAGAGAAGGAAACAAAATATATATCTTGCCCAGACCAAGAAAAAATGTATCCAGCACCCTGGGTACTGGTCTCACCAAAGATGTCAGGACCTCAGCCTATGACATTCCCCCACCCATGGGTTCTTACAAAATGAGGCAATGCCTCTGAGCCCCACCATGAGACTCTGGGGTCACCATGCCTATGCCCGGGGCCGAAGCCTCTTGCAGGAGCAAGTGCTTTCTGAAGACAGGATGGAGGGAAGGACAGAGTGTCAGGAGATGCCATGAGGAGGGACGGAAAGGGTAGAAGAGAGGTGCAGACACAAAGACGCTGCCCTACTCTGCACACTGGGGATCCTGAGGCTTGACCACAGCCTGTCCTCCAGAAAACACAGTGGCCTGAGGGACCAGCCAAAGCCTGAGCCACCCTCCCAGGATGTTGATGACCAGGCAAGGAAGTGGAAAGGCATGCGCTGGGCCTGAAACCCGTTGTTTAGCCTCGTGTACTTCTCCACCCGATGCCTTGATCCACACCGTTCATCCATGGGGAACTTAGGAACTGGACTTGCATCTGGACGGAGTTGAAAATGGCCCTCCCAGAAGAACGCCCCAGCCACGGTCCCAATCCTGCCATGTGATGCCTTCCATGTGCCCAGCACTGTGCTGGAAACTTCAGAGAAGACACAGTCAAGGGCACCAGGAATTTTCCCTGCCCTCAAGCGGCTTACAGTCTACTTTGGAAACAATTAAACAATAATGCAGAGCAGGTTGTAATTAAACACTTAATTGTGTGATTCTAACTGTAAGGACAGTTGGAGATCTGTGGACGCAGGGACAGAGCTCTTCCCTTCCTGTCATCTTCTTCCCTCCAGAACACTGTACTCTCTCTGGCCAGAGAGGGTACAAAGGTGTTTTATTATAGACTGAGGTAATCTGGACTCCCCTCTCTCTAGCGAGTGATTTCTTTTTGAGGTCAATCAATGAACCTTGCTGGGCCTCAGTTTCCTCATCTAGAAAATGAGAGGTTGGCTCCAAGTGATCTACAAATTTCTACGGCCCCGAGGCCACAGGGAGGAGGTTGGAGCAGGGCTGGGCCCTAGAGAAGGAGGAGATCTGAATCCTTGAGTGAAGGAAGAGGGAGCGCCCGGCTGGAGAAACCACAGATGCAGATTTTTTTTTAAGTGAGAAAATGGAGGGGAAGGAAGGGGAAAAGAAGGTTCTCAAAAGTCCGGCAGAGGAGTGGCCTTTTTGGGTTGACTCCGGGAAGCCATTAGAGATTATTCACCAGAGAAGCAACACTCAGAAGTCACTCTTTGGAGATGATGAATCTGGAGGGGCAGGCAGAATTGACCAGAGCGAGAGGACAGGACACCGCCTGAGGAGTCAAGACAGGAGGCAGTGAGGTGTGGATGAACCCAGGGCAATCGCAAAAGCAGAAACCCCAGGTCCTTGCACAACGTTGAAACGCTGAGGGCCTGGTGCTCTCTGAAGCACCTGCACAGTGCCTGGACTCATGGAGCCCAGGGCTGGACTGGTGCTCAGGAGGCCAGAGCTTGGGGCCCTGCCAGTGAACACAGGCCCCAGGACTTGCCTTGATCTAGATTTCTCTCTATGGGAGGGAGTCCGTGGAAGAAGTGGGGTGTCAGGTGTTGGGGAAAGCAGTGCGGTTTAACCAGCTGCTTGTGTCCCCTATGTGAACAGGCAGGAACAGCTTCTAGAGACTTGAGGGGAAAAGTCACCCTACAGAAGCCAGCCAGAGGAGCATCTATGGCAGACGGGTCACCAACGCCATCCTGTTCAGGCCTCTTCCCTCCCTGGATCTTGTGGGTGAACGACAGGCTTAGTGTGGAGGAGGGGGCTTGAGATGATTCTAATAGAGCCGGCCATGACTATGTAGAGAGGTGCGGAGATGGTATTCAGAATTCCCCCCAGGAGTCCCCAGGACAATGTACCTGTGGTCAGCAAAAGAGGAGATCTTGATGTCCCAACTCTGACTGTGTGACCTTGGCTGAGCCACCTCCCATCCCTGGGCCTCGATGTTGACCTCATCAAGATAAGGGGTTAGACTAGCTGATCTGCAATTGAATGACCTGAAATTGATTTGCTCTCAGCTTCCCAAGCTCTCCTCACCTCCCTGTTCTGCCAATAAATGCAGGGGCCAGCTGATGAATCTCGACTCTCCCGTCCAGCCCCAACATTTCCTAGTAGAGGTCTTCCATCAGATACCAGGAGGTCAGGAACACAGCAAGAGCCCTGGAGGGGCTAAGAACTACCCACTTCTAGCTGATGAAACCCTGAGCTGCCACCCCCTCCACCTTTGCACACCTCCTTCCTCTCTGGCCACTTTCTGAACCACGCTTGGCATAACTCAGTAATGTCCTCTACATTCATTCAGCTGATGCCAGATGCCTAGTGTGTGCAAGGCGCCATTTCAGGTGCTGTGAGAAGTCACCTTGTGACGGTGTCCCTGCCGTCATGCCTGTGTGAAGTCACCCTGGTGTAGCTCTGTGAGTCAGGGGAGATATTCAAACAGCACAAGCATAACTGGTCCCCAGTGCGGGAGGAGCAGGGAGACCCCTGAAACCTAAACAGCCTTAAGTGGTGCCTCTGACAAGGGCTGGCTGGCCTGACATCGCAGGACAGCTGTGCGATGCGTGTCCCAAAGGCCACACTTTGCCTTTCCAGATTTGCAGGTGGCATTATCTCAGGCCTGTGATATGCTGGGCCTTCTCCCTCTGATTCCCAGCAAACTCCCCTCTGAGGGGGACATCTTCCCTCCCAGGCAGCTTTCATTTGCACCTCGTGCAGTTGCCCCTCCGTGTGGGATACTGCCAGAACGCCCCTGAACCACCTTTGCTCAGGTCCTGCCCACCTGGGCACCTCACTCTCCCCTTCCCAGACCTGCAATACTTTGTCCACTTTCCAAGCACCAGTCCCAGCTGCTGGCCCTCCATCACGCCGTCTAGAACAGCCCCACAGCGCTAAGCCGCTCAGCCAGGCCTCCCCGCCTGCTGTTGGCTTCTCTAGTCTCTGCCATCTCCTCCACTCACACAGCATTTGTTGTGCCTCCCCAGACATCAACCTTGATCTCTTTTTTGTTCCTAAATCACGTTCCATTGGTGGCGGGTGGTGGCCCCCCTTCCGCCATGAGACAATGAATTCCTTGAGAGAAGAGCTCACCTCAGTCTTCTTTCCCTTCTCCCACCTGTCCCTCTGCCCAGCCCCCTGTGGGCTTCCCATCAATGAGTGTGTCTGTGTGTGGGACACACCCACGTATGCACATCCACAAGCCATTCACACACATGGATCTGTGCGTTCTCACACCCCCACGTTCACAAACACAGGTCAGCTCCCCTCAGCACCTGAGAAGGCAGCAACCTCTGTGAGCACCGTGCCCACAAGTGACAGTCTCTGCACTGATCCACGTCCTCTCTGTGGCAACCCGGGGCAGGCAAGGCTGCCTATCCACCAGCCTCTCCACCAGCCGCTCTTCCCCTCCCTGGCCTTCCCCTTGCCAATGATGTCAAGGGGGCAGGACAGTGGCCATCCCTCCCTACCCCAGGGCAAATGAGGAAAGCGAAACCTGGAAGAGTGAGTGGTGTGATTGACCGAGGGCGCCCACAGTTAACAGCCATTCCACTTGCTCCTTACTTCCCAGGAAGGACCCTTTGCACCTGCCACCACCTTGCCTACAGCCCCGCTCTCCTGACCCAGACCACTAGACTTCTGGGACCCAGTGGGGGTATAGACAGGGCACAGTTGCATCCTGCTGTCCCGGGCCTCCTTGGCCAGCAGCAGCTACCCAGAATGGTCCATGCACACGCCCTCTCCCTGGCTG